GAAATGAAATACGTTTAAGAACGAACATATGTATAAATCTACGTAAAACACACGGTCGAACAAGAAATCGCACAGTAAATTGGATTTAACACCTACGCATCAGCTAAAGCCTGTTGGTCCTTGATAAAACACCTTTGGTGCAGTTATAACACGCTTTCGAGAAAACTTACCAAACAAAGAATACACACTGTGTCAGTCGTTTTTAACTCGTTCGTTAATTAACACACCAGTACAGAAAACGCACCGTCACCGAGATTTTCACCCCTAGCGATAATTATATCACCACTCAGTCAATTTCTCACCTGTGTTAATTAACACACCGTATCTACAGATTTTAGCCTCTTCGTATTAGATTTGTTGCGATAATTAGAATTTTACCGATATTCATACAAATTTACCAAATCGGGATAAATCTATGCCCTAAACGTACAAATAACACTATTACTACTTCTCGGTGTAAGACCACTCAGCCTCTACAGCATACGCAAGATTTTGAAAGTGATCAAGGGTCACGCTTCCTACGCAATCACAAATACACTCCCATCCATTATGAACTTAATTATTTGCTGTATCAGTAATGGATAAAGTCAAGATTATCATATTTTAAGTGTTGATTGCGATATAATTCCAAGAGTGATCGGCACCTGTATGTCTATAATAGATGATGGTTCATGCGGTAAGGCTGACCTTAAAAATATCTTTGTTTCGCCTAACCCGACCGACTAACTAAAACCACCCCCGACTTAAATTATTTTATTGCACTTTTCCACGATCTTTTTGTCCCCCGCCTTTCGAAGAAAGCAGGGGACTATTAAAATGGGTTCGTCCGTCTGTCTGTCTGTCCGTCTGTCCGTCCGTCTGTCTGTCCGTCACACTTTTTGGGACACAATAACTCTCTTCCTAATTGAGCTAGAATGTTCAAACTTGGTGTATGTGTTTATTAGGTCAATGCCTTGATGGAGTTCGAAGATGAGCATTTTCCGCTTAGGGTAAGCAGAGATAAGCAATTTGATTGGTTGATGCTTTGGGACACGATAACTCTCTTCCTAATTGGGCTAGAATGTTCAAACTTGGTGTATGTGTTGATTAGGTCAATGCCTTGATGGAGTTCGAAGATGAGCATTTTCCGCTTAGGGTAAGCAGAGATAAGCAATTTGATTGGTTGATGCTTTGGGACACGATAACTTTTAATTGAGCTAGAATGTTCAAACTTGGTGTATGTGTTTATTAGGTCAATGCCTTGATGGAGTTCGAAGATGAGCATTTTCCGCTTAGGGTAAGCAGAGATAAGCAATTTGATTGGTTGATACTTTGGGGCACGATAACTCTCTTCCTAATTGAGCTAGAATGTTCAAACTTGGTGTATGTGTTGATTAGGTCAATGCCTTGATGGAGTTCGAAGATGAGCATTTTCCGCTTAGGGTAAGCAGAGATAAGCAATTTGATTGGTTGATGCTTTGGGACACGATAACTTTAGTTCTAATTAAGTGAGATTGATGAAACTTGGTGTATAGATTTATTATATGAATACCTTAACTAAGTTCGATAATGAACATTTTTTGCTGAGGGTAAGCAGAGTGATAAGCAATTTGATTGGTAGAAACTTTGGAACACAATAACTCTCCTTCTAATTGAGGTAGAATGTTCAAACTTGGCATAGGTGTCTATTAGGTGAATGTTTAAACTTGATGTATATGTAGATGTTCATTAGGTGAATGTCTTGATTCTATCTGATAGAGAGTGATGAAACTTAGTGAAAAAAATAAATGTGCGATTAATTAATATGTGTCATCTATTTATTTTGCAATTTCGGCGGGGGACATCAGCCTCACTGTTGGCTTGTTATTTTATTTTGTGTGTCAACCTGAAATATATCACGAGAGTTATTTCCCTTTACTATGGCTATGGATTGATTCATTATTGAAACTGGTTGATCAAGACGAAAGCGTCATAGGTGTCGCTTCTCAACAAAATGGTTGCAGACGAATACACGTCCATTCCCACGAAATGATTCTGCTTCTATGTCTGTGGTGCGTAGTTTTAAACATGACGACGATATTTTCAATATCCGTTTTCGAGAAAAATGAAGGCACAACCCTTGTTGAAGGAGTTTCACACTTCAAGTTCGTGGCAAATCGTGTGCGAGTCGGGCATCACGAAAAATTCCCGATGTCATTCACTCATTGATTTTTTTGCCAATTGAATAAAGAAGACGAATGTTTCCACCCGGAAAATTATTAAGCTGTCAAATTAGCTCTTAAGTTTAATAAAAAAAACTTTCAGTTCGTTACTTTTTACGTCAGACCCCAAATTCATTAAACAAAATTAATGAATCTGTAGTATACAGCTAGGCTAATAAGTTTTCTGTATTGATTTCTCTAACTTTAAAAAAAAAATCTGAAAAAAAAAACCGACCTACCGACCCTTCTCCTCGATTGTGGGTCGGGTTTGGTGAAACAAAGATATTTTTAAGGTCAGCCTAATGAATGATACATCAAAGCGATAGCTTCCTGACCTGTCTGTCAACCGTGGCAATCATTTGACATTCTCCCGCCATTTTTAGAACTATAGTTACAAATAAAAACATCTAATGGGAACTTATTTGTTGGTAATATTATTGATTAATAAAGTATGATCTATATTATAAGTTATTATTTGTTGATACAAATTATGTCTAAATGTTTAATGTAGCCTAGAATAACAATACAAATCACTAAATTATTTCTAAATATTTATCGGCATTTAGAAGGCATGTCTAACAGTAATCACATGACATCAAGGGATATTCCCACCCCCCTTTTATCTTTCCTTCCAATCCATGTGATATTTTCCAAAACTTCTACTCATTATAATATAGTGTTCAGCAGTGAACTAGATAAATCAAAGGGGAAAAAAATGCTGCAAACTAGTAAGATTTGGATCTATTTCAAGATAAGCGACAGCACAAGACTTGCAGCGCTTCATACCAGCCCGGTATGCAATGATGAGCCATTGTTGACATCTTTTTTGGTGTAATTATCGAGAATCATGATAGACAAATAACTATTGTGAGGACCATTGTTTATTTCAGATAGTTGATAAATTTGTTAATACTTATCAAAAACAATTTAAACAAGCCAACAGTGAGGCTGATGTCCCCCGCCGAAATAGGAAAATAATTAGAGGACACATATAAATTTATCACAAATAAGCGGAACGGACAGACAGACAAACAGACAGACGGACGAACCCATTTTGATAGTTCCCTGCTTTCTTCGAAAGGCGGGGGACAATCAAAGTAGGAGAGTTATTGTTTTCCAAAGTCTCGACCAATCAAATTGTGTATCGCTCTGCTTACCCTGAGCAGAAAATGCTCATTATCAAACTTAGTCAAGGTATTACTGTAATGAAACTATACACCAAGTTTCATCAATCTCACTTAATTAGAACTAAAGTTATCGTGTCCCAAAGCATCAACCAATCAAATTGCTTATCTCTGCTTACCCTAAGCGGAAAATGCTCATCTTTGAACTCCATCAAGGCATTGACCTAATCAACACATACACCAAGTTTGAACATTCTAGCTCAATTAGGAAGAGAGTTATCGTGCCCCAAAGTATCAACCAATCAAATTGCTTATCTCTGCTTACCCTAAGCGGAAAATGCTCATCTTCGAACTCCATCAAGGCATTGACCTAATAAACACATACACCAAGTTTGAACATTCTAGCTCAATTAAAAGTTATCGTGTCCCAAAGCATCAACCAATCAAATTGCTTATCTCTGCTTACCCTAAGCGGAAAATGCTCATCTTCGAACTCCATCAAGGCATTGACCTAATCAACACATACACCAAGTTTGAACATTCTAGCCCAATTAGGAAGAGAGTTATCGTGTCCCAAAGCATCAACCAATCAAATTGCTTATCTCTGCTTACCCTAAGCGGAAAATGCTCATCTTCGAACTCCATCAAGGCATTGACCTAATAAACACATACACCAAGTTTGAACATTCTAGCTCAATTAGGAAGAGAGTTATTGTGTCCCAAAAAGTGTGACGGACAGACAGACGGACGGACAGACGGACGGACAGACAGACGGACAGACAGACGGACGAACCCATTTTAATAGTCCCCTGCTTTCTTCGAAAGGCGGGGGACAATAAAAAATTCATTAGTCTAATTAAGTATTGTTCTAGTTTGTGATCTTGTAATATCAACACGCACTGAAAACAGATCAAAGAGGGGTCTCCGCGATGTACTGACTGTTCTACAATTCTATGATTTTGATCATCATACAATTAGCTTATTCCCTATTCCAATCAAAAGTTTTATCAGGTGGACTGTTGTAGTTAATGTCTGTCTGCACATGCGCAGAAATGGTATTCTCAAAAATCTCATTGAGTGAAGCGAACTCTTAAACAATGTGAGAATAAATATTCAAAAAATAACGGAGACCAGTAAGGATTTTATACTGTTTATTCTTTCCTTTTATACGGCCCCTGAGAGAGTCTTGTATTACCGGTACATAGAAATAGCAACACGCACGGCAACCGAAATAAAACTTTCATTTTGGTTGCCCTCCACGTAGCTATTTATATAACAAATAGACCGGTAAGGATTTTTTACTGTTTATTCTTTCCTTTTTACGGCCCCTATGAGAGTCATGTATTACCGGTACGTCCAAATAGCAAAGTGCGTGTGCGTGTGCCTATTTAGTTGCACCGCATGTCAAGCAAAATAATGATTTGTTCACAACTCGGATAATATTTCAAAGGTAATAACCGAGTTGTTTTGAACAGATATTGGCAACTCCACTATCGGCGAAATGGCCGTGTATCGGCCGATACCGATTTCTCCCAAAATTACTGATGTTGAAACTGATTATCGTACCATCACTAGTGATAACTCTGACTTCTTCGCCTCATGACCGTAAACACTGTGTATTAATTTAAAGTCAATTGGATATTAACTTTAGCGTCCATAAGATAATATACTATAGTTGTTAAGACTTGTTTGTTACCTTTTCTGCACTTGGAGAAAGAAACATATCCATACACAGGTGTAAATATTGTAAAAATACACTTTCTGTCTCTATTATTTCTTCTATAATTTTCTCTCTCTTGTCTTTTTCTTTCTCCATTTTAATTCTTTCTTCTATTTTTCTTTTCCTATCTTCCTCCTTTCTTCTTTCAGTCTCGTCCATGTTATTGGCAGCTTTCCGTGCTTTTGGGCTCAGTTCATAAAGATTTTCTGAAAATATATTATAACAAGTTGGTGGTTGTCATCTAAGATATGCCAATATGGACAAAAAACAGGGAAAATCAATAGGAATCATCCTCTCATTGTCCCAATTACTGTCTGAACCACCCTAAATATTAAAAGTATTTTTTTTCGGTTAAATAAAATCCATTGTACAATTAAATATTCCAACGAATAAAAAGTTCTCTCTCGGAAAATTTGACTCCTCACAAACTTTGACATTGAGAACCAGTGGTTGCTAGGCAAGATATGCCCACATTTTGCAAGAGATGGATAGAGAACAACTAAAACAAAAGCAATTTTGCGTACAATCAAGGGCCATAATTCAGGAACTTACGATCGGATATCGAAAGGTACCAAGATCTTTGGGTTATAAAGGTATATTTCAAGTTTCATAAAAATCAGATCAACATTGTGACTTCTAGAGGGTCCACAACCTTGATATACCATATATTTACACTGTTTGCGTATACAAGGGGCGGCCATTTTGTCCAGCAGTTTTGGTCCCATTTTCACGGAATTCGAACTCAGCTATCATTACGGTGTAACGGTGATATTTTCAAATACTTTTTTTCAAATCAGATAAAACTTGTGACCTCTAGAGGGACCATGACAAGCTAAAAACAAGCGGTTGCCATGCAAGATACGCCCACATTTTGCAAGAGATGGACAGAGAACAAGCTCAAAAAAAGAAGTGATTTTTTCGTACAATCAAGGGCCATAATTCAGGAAGTTACAATCCGATATGCATGAATATTGAAAGGAACCAAGATCTTTGGGTTATAAACATGTATTTCAAGTTACATCAAAATCGAATCAAAATTGTGTCCACTCTCTAGAGGGTCCAAAACCTTGATATACAATATATTTACAATATTTGCGTACGAGGGGCAGCCATTTTGTCCGGCAGTTTTGGTCCGATTTGTACGAAATTCGGACTCAACCATCATAAGGGTTTGACAGGGATAAAAATTGTGACATCTAGAGGGATCACATCCTAAAAACGCGACTTTTCGTACAATCAAGGGCCATAATTCAGGAAGTTATGATCCAAAATGTGCGTATATCGAAAGAACCAAGATCTTTGGGTTATAAATATGTATTTCAAGTTTCATTGAAATCGGATCAAAACTGTGACCTCTATAGGGTCCACAACCATATTTTTTCGCTATTTGAGAACGAACGGCGGCCATTTTGTCTGTCAATTTTGGGCCAATTTTCACGAAATTCGAACTCAGTCGTCCTTAGGGTGTAACGGTGACATAATAATATGTTTTTTTAAATCGGATGAAAATTATGACCTTTAGGGTCCACAAGCTAAAAACGCGATTCTTCGTACAATCAGGGACCATAATTCAGGAACTTAAGGTCCGATATGCGCGAATATCGAAAGGAACCGAGAACTTTCGGTTATAAAATTACATTTCAAGTTTCAACAAAATCGGATAAAAATTGTGATCTCTATAGGGTCCACAACCATGATATACCATATTTTTACGCTATTTGACAACGAACGGCGGCCATTTTGTCTGTACATTTTGGGCCGATTTTCATGAAATTCGACCTCAGCTGTTTTTAGGGTGTGACGGTGATATAATAATACGTTTTTTTAAATCGGATAAAAATTATGACCTTTATTGGTTCCACAAGCTAAAAACGTGATTTTTCGTACAATCAGGGACAATAATTCAAGAAGTTACGGTCCGATATGCGCGAATATCGTAATGAACTGAGATCTTTGGGTTATAAACTTACATATCAAGTTTCAACAAAATCGGATAAAAATTGTGACCTCTATAGGGTCCACAACCTTGATATACCACATTTTTACGCTATTTGAGAACATACGGCGGCCATTTTGTCTGTCAATTTTGGGCTGATTTTCACGAAATTCGACCTCAGTCGTCCTTAGGGTGTAATGGTGACATTTTTTTAAATCGGATAAAAATTATGACCTATATAGGGTCCACAAGCTAAAAAGGCGATTTTTCGTACAATCAGGGGCAATAATTCAGGAAGTTACGGTCCGATATGTGCGAATATCGAAATGAACCGAGATCTTTGGGTTATAAACTTACATATCAAGTTTCAACAAAATCGGATAAAAATTGTGATCTCTATAGGGTCCACAACCTTGATAGACCACATTTTTACGCTATTTGAGAATGTTAGGCGGCCATTTTGTCTGTCAATTTTGGGCCGATTATCACGAAATTCGAACTCAGTCGTCCTTAGGGTGTAACGGTGACACAATAATACGTTTTTTTAAATCGGATAAAAATTATGACCTCTATAGGGTCCACAAGCTAAAAACGCGATTTTTCGTACAATCAGGGGCCATAATTCAGGAAGTTAAGGTCCGATATGCGCGAATATTGAAAGGAACCGAGATCTTTGAGTTATAAACTTACATTTCAAGTTTCAACAAAATCGAATAAAAATTGTGACCTCTATAGGGTCCACAACCTTGATATACCATATTTTTACGCTATTTGAGAACGAACGACAGCCATTTTGTCTGTCAATTTTGGGCCGATTTTCACGAAATTCGAACTCAGTCGTCCTTAGGGTCTAATGGGGATATAATAATATGTTTTTTTAAATCGGATAAAAATTATGACCTCTATAGGGTCCACAAGCTAAAAACGCGATTTTTCGTACAATCAGGGGCCATAATTCAGGAAGTTACAGTCCGATATGCGCGAATATCGAAAGGAACCAAGATTTTTGGGTTATAAACTTACATTTCAAGTTTCAACAAAATCGGATAAAAATTGTGACCTCTATAGGGTCCACAAGCTAAAAACGTGATTTTTCGTACAAACAGAGGCCATAATCCATGAAGTTTCGATCCGATACATGCCAATATCGAAAGCAGCCGAGATCTTTTGGGGATAAACCTACTCCTTGTCATGTACAACCGGGGAATCGAAACCCCGCCAGTTGACTCAATGACAGACCGTATGATACAGCGCAGCGCACACGTGCTAACCATTCGGCCATCCAACCCCGCCCCCCTAATTAGGTGAGAGTGAGGACACTTGGGGTATAGCTTTTTTTACATCAATACCTTGGCTAAGTTCGATAATAGCACGTTTTCTGCTGAGGGTAAGCAGAGCAGTAAACAATTTGATTGGTCGCTGCTTTGGAACAAAATAACTCTCTTTCTAATTGAGGTAAAATGTTTAAACTTGGTGTAGGCATTTATTAGGTGAATGCCTTGATGGAGTTCGATGATGAACATTGTCTGCTAACAGTAAGCAGAGATATGCAATCTGATTGGTCGGTGCTTTGGGGCACGATAACTTTGGTTATAATGAAGTGAGAGTGATGAAACTCTGAATATAGATTCATTATATCATTACCTTGACTAAGTTCAATGTTGAGAATTTTCTGCTTAGGCTAAGGAGCGATAAGCAATTTGATTGGTCAAGACTTTGGAACATAACAACTCTGCTTTTAATTGAGGCAGAATGTCTTGTCTTGACATTAGGTGAATGTCTTGACTGAGTTCAATGATTAACATTTCGAGCTGAAGCCAAGCAGAGCTAATCAATTTGATTGGTTGATGCTTTGGGACAAGATAATCCTGATTCTATCTGATAGAGAGTGATGAAACTTAGTGTATAGTTTGATTGCTTGATACTTTTGAAAAAAATATATGTGCGATTAATAGTACTAAACAAAATTCGAGTTTTTCCTCTGTGGGATTTGAACTCCTGACCAAACTGCGTAGCCTACTGCAGTCTAGTGCTTAACTATACCATTTAGTATAGAAGCCTATAACTACCATGCATAATTTCTACTTTTCGCCCCTTCAGAACAGGAAAGTCAAAAAGTAGAAAAGTAGAATTTACGACAAAATGTGAGGCAACAGCACGCTATACAAACCAAAATCAACTCGAAAATAGAAAACTAACAAATAATATACCGCGATAATAGAACACCTCGTTTTTTCATAATTCCTAATTTTTGACTTGCATTTTGGCTTGTATATCATCTTGTTGACTTTCGACTTAGTCATATTTTTGTATTTATTGATGGCAGTAAGAAGGCACCAACATGCATACCAAGCCAAATGCAACTCGAAAAGTAGAAATTAGGAAATTAACACACCGCACTATTAGCGACCTATCATTTTGGCTTGCTGACATACTGTCGACTTTTCGAGTTTTGCCTCGGAAGTTGTTGTAGTCTCTGCATTCCAGGTCACATTTGAATACATGCAATTCGCATTAACAAAATAGTCTGTATAATAAGTCTAGTATATATTGATGGCGATATTAGCGACCTATGATTTTTGGCTTGTTGTTGCGCTGTTGTTGCGCTTTTCGACTTTCGCCTCAGAATTCCAGGTCACATATGAATACGCGCATTGAAAATTGAATTTTGTTTACTGTGGCTTTATACAGCATGTAAAATATACAAATTTCAAAATTTGCCCGGTTGGATATTATTATTTTATTTCAATTTATATTAACACCATGGGTAGGAAAAGTAAGAATGAACCAAAATGTTCTAAAGTGAAAGACAAGTGTGATTGTAAGCATCTCTTACAAATGAAATTGAAATTTCTATCAGGATTCAGATTCTGGATCATTACGGTACCTAAAACAAGCCAAGGTATCGAGCAATCAAGCTATACAAGTTTCATCACTCTCTATCAGATAGAATCAAGATTATCTTGTCCCAAAACATCGACCAATGAAATTGGCTAGCTCTGCTTAGCTTCATCTCGAAATGTTAATCATTGAACTCAGTCAAGACATTCACCTAAAGAACATCTACATCAAGTTTAAACATTCTACCTCAATTAAATGTAGAGTTGTTATGTCCCAAAGTCTTGACCAATCAAAATACTTATCGCTCCTTAGTCTGAGCAGAAAATTCTCACTATCGAACTTAGTCAAGGTAATAATATAATGAATCTTTATTCAGAGTTTCATCGCTCTCACTTCATTATAACCAAAGTTATTGTGCCCCAAAGCATCAACCAATCAGATTGCTTATCGTCTGCTTACCGTAAGCAGACGATGTTTATCATCGAACTCAAGGCATTCACCTAATGAACGCCTACACCAAGCTTAAACATTCTACTTCAATTAGAAGGAGAGTTATTGTGTTCCAAAGTCTCGACCAATCAAATTGCTTATTGCTCTGCTTATCCTGAGCAGAAAATGCTCATTATCGAACTTAGTCATGGTATTGATGTGAAAAAACTATACACCAACTCCATCAAGGGATTCACATAATGAACGCCTACACCAAGTTTGAACATTCTACCTCAATTAGAAGGAGAGTTATTGTGTTCCAAAGTCTCGACCAATCAAATTGCTTATCGCTCTGCTTACCCTGAGCAGAAAATGCTCATTATCGAACTTAGTCAAGATATACACCAAATTTCATCACTCTCACTTAATTAGAACTTAAATTATCGTGTCCAAAGCATCAACCAATGAAATTGCCTATCTCTGCTTACCCTAAGCAGAAAATGCTTATCTTCGAACTCCATCAAGGCATTGACCTAATAAACACCTACACCAAGTTTGAACATTCTAGGTCAATTAGAAGGAGAGTTATTGTGTCCCAAATAGTGTGATGGACGGACGGACGGACAGATGGACAAACCCATTTTAATAGTCCCCTGCTTTCTTCGAAAGACGGGGGACAAAAATATAAAAACATAACCCAAGTCGAAAGTCGACAAGACAGTACACAAGCCAAAATGCAAGTCGAAAATTAGAAATTAGGAAAAAAACGAGATGTGCTTTTATCGTTGTGTATTATTTCTTAATTTCCTGTTTTTGAGTCGATTTTGGGTGCTGTCGCCTCAAATTTTGTCATAACTTCTACTTTTTGACTTTCGTGTTTTGTAGGGGCGAAAAGTAGAAATTACGAATGGTAGTTATAGGCTTCCATAATTTAACTATATCCACATTGCACCCACCCATGTGGACGTGACGTGACATTTCCTGACATGGCATATTTTGATGATGTGACAAGGATTTTTTCCTGTTAGGACTACATCTATTGAAACATGCCAGTACTGCATCACTGTTCTAGTTACTTTTATTCTATAACATATTGTAGATTTCTAGAAGATAATATAGTAATTGAAAAATAATAATTTAACCTTTTAATTGACAAAGTTCTACTGACAATCCTGTAATGTTGGCTTCATAAAATCCTAAACTTTCTTTTACTTCTTCTTTTATCTCTGCATTTACAGTCTTTAGCAAGGTCACAACATTTTCTTTAGATTTCTCATATTTCTGTAAAGTTTGTGAAATACAACATCTAAAGTTACACCATCATGTGAGCTGATAAGATAATTGATCTGTTTGGGCTAGATTTACTACAGATATAGGCTTAGCATAGCTTTCATTGACACTTATGCAATTTGCAATTGCTAAAAAATCAATGATTACAAAATAAGCAATGTTATATTATCTAGTATAGACTGTCAAATACTGAATATAAAACAAAGATATGAGTGATATGCTTTGTTACCTTTAAGTCAACAATGATTTCAGATATCCGTCGTTTTAATTCAATAACAACCTCAGCATTTGCTGCATCTTCTGTAAACACAACATGTTTCAGTTAAACACAATGAAAATACATACTTCTTTCAAATCCTTTTTAATTTCACTAGCCCGATGTGACAGATCATGAGTATTCTCGATGCATGGATCAACATGTAAAGACTAGTTAACCAACAATATATATGTAGAACAATTACATTCTAGTCATACTAAAATAAACACTCCTGTATAGTACAGTCTTTCTCTCTCATACTTAGAATTCTAATGTTACTAAATTCACAAATAATCCAGGCAAGATAGCATAAGTGCAGGCAGTTACTGCAATAGAAATGTCGACCACGGTTTATGGTCGGTCTAGACATATCACCAGAAAAAAGTCTGAGTCCAAAATCTGTGTCCAAATGGGTCAAATTGGCCAAAATCCAAAATGGCCACCGGTTTTGGCTTGTAAATTATCATATTTTGGTATCAAAATATATGTTTTCGGGTTAACTAAATCCATTCCATACACATTTTTTTATATGTTTTACCACTGAGTCAATATTGGGGGTTATTCAAGATGGCGGTCAGTTTGGGCTGGAAAATTCGAATTTTACATAAGGATCAAGTTTGGTGTCAAAATATAGGTTATCGAGGTAGCTGAATCCATTTAGTGATTAAGTGATTCCCCTGGGTCAATATAGGAGACATTCCAATAAGGGATTTAGATTTCCGATTAGGGATTGGAGTTTAAGGATACTCCTAGCTTAAACCTAATACAATGGCATTCATCCAGTATCAACTAAATTTCATTTGGCGTGTCTCCCAGCTCACTGCAGTAGCAGGGTGGGGGTATGTTTACTGGGGCCACTCCCAGGTCACTGCGGAAGCTGATCATGCCTATTGGAACACATGGCGAATTTATTTCACAAAATGCTTCAAATGTTGAGACACATATAATATGGATACAGTATCACCTGTTTGTCAGATATGCTATGAACCATTTGATAATGAAGAGACCACCGTTATTGAAGAGGAGGAGCGGTGCAAAATTCATTTTTGCAGACCGTTGTCTTTTACATGGTCTGTAGGAAAGACTAGCAGACGGTCCATTACAACAGATATAAACAGTGACTACTGTTACATCACTCTGTGTAACCTAAGCAAAAAATCTCATTGCAGTGGCATGTTTGGTAGTTAGTTAATCACCTACCCTGCCCTCATAAATATAAAAACAAAAGAAACTGGAAATGGTTAATAACGCTCGAATCCGATGAGATTTCCTACGAGGATATAGGGGAGGGAGCGGGGGTGGCTATGTGCCCTCCCGTCCGAAAATGTGCCCCTGAATTTTGACAGAAATACCTTAAATACTCAAGACTCAAGGAAATACCCACCCTATTGACAACATTGTGCCCCCTTTTTCTGCTGCCCTTCCCTCGTTCCAACCAAATCCAGAGATAAGAAAAGCCAACGCACTCAATGTACGTACAGAATATGTACGTTTTTCATTGATGATGTAAGGGCCCCTACAAGCTCAATCAGACCCTGATTTCCACGGATTAATAGTTTCATAATACAAGCTCAATCAGGGCCTGATTTCCACGGATTAGTTCCATAATATTCAGAATCAATTAATTTGTCTTAGTTTTATTTTTTTATCTAAATGAATTTAAGAAAATTGCAACATGGGCATCGAGAAAGTCTTTGCTTGTTAGCCTACTGAAGGCCAATACTGAACACAAATTTTCCAGATCCTACCCCCTCCCCTAAAGTGCCCTACCTTTGGCCTGCCTACTCTTATTCAGAGGCCCTAGCACAAACCTCTGCTCATTTTTGAACTTAGTCATGACTTTACACCAAGTTCTGTCCTAAAATCTCTGCCATTGAAATTGATATCTCTGTTCATTATTGAACGTATGGTGGGCTGTTCATTATCAAATGGTTCACTGCATATTGGGATCAATCTGTGTCTCATCTGAATCATTTTGTGAAAACAATTTGCTGTGTGCTTTCAATATGTTTAGCCATCTTGGCTCAATTTTTGAGGTTGTTGATAGAAATCGGACACGCCCACAACGCTGCGTCCAGTGAGCTGAGAGTGGCCCCTTTCATCATGCCTGCTACACTGCTTTAGTTTATGCTTGATCAATGCCATCGTATTATATCTGAGGCAGACTCAACTACTCTTAATCCCCAAATCTCCTATCGGATTTTCACATATTTTGACCCAGGGGAACCAGTTGAATACCAAGATGAGACTAAAGCATCGCTGACGCTGCAATATACATCCACATTCCTTTCATTGATATGGTACTTCTTGAAATGAAGAGAATGTAATATGACAAGAGGCAAAGAAGGTTAGGTGTTGGGTTTGTTTTGCCAAATTTAGAGACTAAATATTAACATCATGGATTTAGCTGTTCAAGTCATAAAGATTCATTGAAAATCAATATACTTGTTTGTCTCAAGACCTTAAACACTGTGTATAAATTTAAAGTCAATCGGATATTAACTTTAGCCTCTACAGCGTCCACAAGATTTTTCAAAGTGATCAAGGGCCATAACTCTGACAAAAATTATCGGAAATCGCTGAAAATCAATAGGATTCTTCGTCTCATGACCTTAAACACTGTGTATAAATTTGAAGTCAATCGGATATTAACTTTACCCTCTAGAGCATCCACAAGATTTTTCGAAGTGATCAAGGGCCATAACTGTAATTATCGGAAATCGCTGAAAATCAATAGGCTTCTTTATCTCATGACCTTTAACACTGTGTATAAATTTAAAGTCAATCGGATATTAACTTTGGTCTTTAGAGCATCCACAAGATTTTTTGAAGTGATCAAGGGCCTTAACTCTAGCCATAATTATCGGAAATCGCTGAAAATCAACAGGCTTTTTCGTCTCATGACCTTAAACACTGTATATAAATCTTAAGTCAATCAGATATTAACTTAGACCTCTAGAGCGTCCACAAGATTTTTTGATGTGATCAAGGGCCATAACTCTGGCAGTAATTACCGGAAATAGCTGAAAATCAATAGGCTTTTTCGTCTCATGACCTTAAACACTGTTTATAAATTTAAAGTCAACGGATATTAACTTTAGCCTCTAGAGCATCTACAATATTTTGTGAAGTGATCAAGGGTCATAACTCTGGCAGTAATTAACTACTTACATTATTCCAATGGAAATATTTGTCAACATTTCTTAGCGTGTTTATTTATTTAACAAGCGGTTGCCATGCATGATACGCCCGCATTTTGCAAGAGATGGACAGAGAACTAGCTAAAAAGATAGGTTGCCACTTGCAAGGCAACGAAACATACTCCCACAGCTGCTAAATCGTCCGGGCAGTCAACAAGAGTTGTCGCATATTTTTATTTTTTTCGATAATGAAACATTTATAATACACTATAATCTGCTTAAGAGTAACAATACTAACAACTCACTAAGTAATTATCAGAAAATCATTAGAATTTGTTTGGTTTTTATGAAGTTCTGTCCCATGCTAACGTTAAGTATACAAAACATTTAATATCAATATATTTGTTTGTCTCAAGACCTTAAACTCTGTGTATCAATCTGAAGTCAATCGGATGATAACTTTAGCCTCTAGAGCATCCACAAGATATTTTGAAGTGATCAAGGGCCATAACTCTGGCAGTAATTATCAGACATTGCTGAAAATCAAAAGGTTTCTTCATCTCATGACCTTACACACTGTGTATAAATTTAAAGTCAATCGGATATCAACTTTGGCCTCTAGAGCGTCCACAAGATATTTTGAAGTGATCAAGGACCATAACTCTGGCAGTAATAATCAGAAATTGCTGAAAATCAATAGGCTTCTTCGTCTCATGACCTTATACACTGTGTATAAATTTACATCAATCGGATATTAACTTTGGCCTCTAGCTATATAGAGTGTCCACAAGATTTTTTGAAGTGATCAAGGGCCATAACTATTGCAGTAATTATCTGAAATCACTGAAAATCAATAGGCTTCTTCGTCTCATGACCTTAACACTGTGTATAAATTTATTTAAGTCAATCGGATATTAACTTTAGTCTCTAGAGCTTGTGGACGCCTGACGGACGGACAGGGGCGACAACAATAACAACATTTCAAATGGGATTTTTTTGTACAACCAGGGACCATAATCCAGGAAAATATGGTCCGATATGCGCGATCTTTGGGTTATGAACATACATTTCAAGTTTCATCAAAATCGGATAAAAATTGTGACCTCTAGAGGGTCCACAACCTTCGTATTACATACTTATACACAATTGGGCAGTTTCATTTCAATTTTCCCGCATTCGAATTCAACCTTCATTATGGTGGAATGGTGATATATACTCTTCAAAAAAGTAGGGGATATTGAAATGCAAATACCTATGCAGGTTGTGATATGATAAATAGTCATGGACACTTGACATGCTTTGAGAGTATGTTCAAAGATGAAGAACTTATCGCCTCAACAGAACCACTGAGATGCACATGGGACACGCAATAGCGCAATACACGTGGGAGGGGTTCATTGTCAAATTTGACACTTCACTGTCACATGCTGGTTTATCTATCCATGTTTGCTTTCCTATATTCACCCTTTTTAATTTAAATCGGATAAAAATTATGATTTAAATTTTGTACAATCAAGAGTATTAAGTTTCATCAATATCAGATCAAAATTGGGACCGCTAGAGGGTCCACAACCTTGATATACCAGATGTTTTGCGTACGGGGAGGGTCAGATAATAATTGTGACCTCTAGAGAGACCACAATCTAAAAATGTGATTTTTCATACAATCAAGGACCATAATTCAGGAAGTTACGATCCGACATGTGCAAATATCGAAAGGAACCAAGATCTTTGGGTTATAAACATGTATTTCAAGTTTCATCAAAATTGGATTAAAATTGTGACCTCTAGAAGATCCACAACCTTGATATACCTTATTTTTACACTATTAGCGTATGAGCGGCGGCCATTTTGTCCGGTAGTTTGGGTCTGATTTTCACGAAATTCGAACCCAACCATCATTA